GTTGAGTAATTCCATTCATGTAGAGTATTGCATGGGACAACAGTATAACGAGGCTACAGTTGAGTAATTATATTCATGTAGCGTATGGCATGGGACAACAGTATAATGAGGCTACAGTTGAGTAATTACATTCATGTAGCTTATAGCATGGGACAACAGTATAATGAGGCTAAAGTTGAGTAATTACATTCATGTAGCGCATAGCATGGGAGAACAGTATAATGAGGCTACAGTTGAGTTATTCCATTCATGTAGAATATTGCATTGGACAACAGTATAATGAGGCTACAGTTGAGTAATCCCATTCATGAAACGTATTGCATGGGACAACAGTATAATGAGACTACAGTTGAGTAATTACATTCATGTAGCCTATAGCATGGGACAACAGTATAATGAGGCTAAAGTTGAGTAATTTCATTCATGTAGCGTATGACTTGGGACAACAGTATAATGAGGCTACAGTTGAGTAATTATATTCATGTAGCGTATTGCACGGGACAACAGTATAATGAGGCCACAGTTGAGTAATTCCATTCATGTAGCGTATTCCATGGGACAACAGTATAATGAGGTTACAGTTGAGTAATTACATTCATGTAGCGTATTGCATGGGACAACATTATAATGAGGCTAAAGTTGAGTAATTACATTCATGTAGCGTATGGCATGGGACAACAGTATAATGAGGCTACAGTTGAGTAATTACATTCATGTAGCGTATGGCATGGGACAACAGTATAATGAGGCTACAGTTGAGTAATTCCATTCATGTAGCGTATTGCATGGGACAACAGTATAATGAGGCTAAAGTTGAGTAATTACATTCATGTAGCGTATGGCATGGGACAACAGTATAATGAGGCTACAGTTGAGTAATTCCATTCATGTAGAGTATTGCATGGGACAACAGTATAATGAGGCTACAGTTGAGTAATTCCATTCATGTAGCGTATTGCATGGGACAACAGTATAATGAGGCTAAAGTTGAGTAATTCCATTCATGTAGCGTATTGCATGGGACAACAGTATAATGAGGCTAAAGTTGAGTAATTACATTCATGTAGCGTATGGCATGGGACAACAGTATAATGAGGCTACAGTTGAGTAATTACATTCATGTAGCGTATGGCATGGGACAACAATATAATGAGACTACATTTGAGTAATTACATTCATGTAACGTATTGCATGGGACAACATTATAATGAGGCTACAGTTGAGTTATTACATTCATGTAGAGTATTGCATGGGACAACTGTATAATGAGGCTACAGTTGAGTAATTACATTCATGTAGAGTATTGCATGGGACAACAGTATAATGAGGCTACAGTTGAGTAATTCCATTCATGTAGAGTATTGCATGGGACAACAGTATAATGAGGCTACAGATGAGTAATTACATTCGTGTAGCGTATTGCACGAGGCATCAATATAATGAGGCTACATTTGTTGTTTAATATTCATATTCTTCAGTGGACACCTGGTCAAATTACAACTGAAAAATGTCGGCTTTGCAGTAAATTTACCTCATCTTGAACTATTAGCGTCTATGATAGAGTGTTGCACACTAAATACAATTCAAAACTATTGTCTTTGAATAGATTTGGTCTCAGGTCGAAACTTTTAAGACAGTTCGGCAAATCTCGCGATCTTAACGTTTGCCATCCCTCTACCCAGTACACCTTGTACTCAAAGATACTTATCTCGTTTTCTGAATCGTGAAAGACTGTGAGACTGAAGAGGAGTTTTCTTTTCAATGTATATCATGCCTCGGTTGTACTGTGATGCGTTAAATAAACTCCACTAGTGTTTGTTTTGAGAGTTAACACAGCGTATAAAATAGTAAATGAAGATCATTTTTGAAGAGTAACGCAACCATATTCAGAACATGTCTTAGTGTATAAAGACTTTAATTTTACGATACAGTTAACATATTTAGCAATTTGGAAGATAGCCTGAGCTGTGGTTAGGTAGACATGGTTGACACAATTTCTTCCACCAGTCATTCCAAAATTTGCCAAACAATTCAAAATAAATCCTCAGATTGAAATGATGGTCAATCTTTCTATTAGGATGTAACATTGAACAATAACTATAAATAATATACCTATGTGAATAATCTGATGAATACAGACAATAAGGTCATGACATGTACAAAATATCTGTATTATGAAAAATCTTTCCCTCTCGATCCCAGCAACGTTTAACATATTTAACACATGCTTTATTTAATGCGTCGACTATTTAGTACAAGCTAGTCTTTAAATGGGGATGGGCGAAGGCGGATATTTTAGTACAAACTAGTCTATATGGGAGGGCGGACTGCTGAATACAAACTAATCTATGGGAGAGAGGGAAGGGCGGAATGTTTAGTACAAACTAGTTTGCATGGGAAAACAGAGAGTAGACTGTTTAGTACAAATTAATATATAAATGGAGATGGGCGAGGGCGGACTGTTTATTACAAACTAGTCTGCATGGTAGAGTCGAGGGCTGACTGTTTAATACGAAGTAAGTCTAAATGGGAGATGGGATGGCGGAATATTTACTACAAACTAATCTGAATGGGGGAGGGGAGGGGAGGACTGTTTAGCACAAACATGTCTTTTTGGAAGAGCGGAGGGCGGAATGTTTAATACAAACTTGTCTGTTTATGGGGAGAAGTGAAGGACGGACATGCAGGAGATGTTACCAGAGCTTGGATTTTCTATCTTGTACAAATTTAATGGTACTTAATATACTCATCCATTGAAGAGTAGTTAAATACCATATTTAAACACGAAAAAGTATCATGTTCGGAAGAATGTTTCTCGCTTAGTATCATAGTATCTGCAATTGTCCGGCAGACTGACTAATTGTGAAATATAATTTACCTCGAGACTTTATGATACTTTTCCTATTAATTTGTCTTATACATATGGGATACACTTCAGGTTGTACAACTTGAACTTGTGTAACACACATGTAATATCCACTGGCTAGAATGCATTGCTATTTCCAGCCTTCTCTGTGAGATTAGCTTTCCTCAGGAGATTCCATCTGGCTTACAACATAAATATAGTAGTTTCTGCATGACATTTTGTGTAATAATTACATGGAGGAGAGATCTTGATGTAATTTCATGATTTATAGCTGATAATTTGAAACTTTTGGAAAATTAAACACTTATCTGTCACCGTAAATGTGCGAAAGTCTCTTAAAAAATTGCCTTCAGCGTTTCAAATGCGTGCAGATAATCTTTGGGCCTTTAGATGATGTACTGTTATACTAAATGAGTACAGCTTCCCTTCACACTCCCTCAATAATAGTCGGTAAAATGGCCTACAGGTTCGTTCTTTATTGTCTGCATAATACACCTTTCTATACTCATTTGTCTTGATTGCTTTTTCTGACTGCTTCGAAAAAAATTTTAAACTTTGTAAACAACGTATAATGGCTATACTTCCTAAAAACAGATCAGGATACCGTATTGGTGTCTTTGGTTTGTCAAGACACCAATACGATGTCTTGTCATTGGTTGGTCAAGACACCATGACACCAAGACACCAAGACACCAATGCAATGCCTTCTCATTGGTTGATCAAGACACCATGCAGTGTCTTATTGGTAGGTAAAAAATCAATGCAGTGTCTTGTCATTGTTTGTTTAAGACACCAATACAGTGTCTTCTCATTGGCAGGTCAAAACACCAATGCCGTGTCTTCTCATTAGCTGGTCAAGACACCAATGCTGTGTCTTGTCATTGGTTCGTCAAAACACCAATGCAGTGTCTTGTCGTTGGTTGATTAATTCACCAATGCAGTGTCTTGCCATTGTTTGATCAAGACAACATTGCAGTGTGTTATCATTGGTTAATTATGACACCAATGCAGTGTCTTGCCATTGTTTGATCAAGACAACATTGCAGTGTGTTATCATTGGTTAATTATGACACCAGTGCAGTGTCTTGCCATTGTTTGATTAAGACAACATTGCAGTGACAATGCAGTGTGTTATCAATGGTTAATTATGACACCAATGCAGTGTCTTCCCATTGATCGGTCAAAACACAGTGCAGTGTCTTGTCATTGATTGGTTTTAACACCAATGCAGTGTGTTGTCATTGGTTGGTCCAGGCACCAATGCAGTGTCTTGTCATTGTTAGTTCAAAACAACATTGCAGTGTCTTCTCGTTGTAGGTCAAGACACCAACGCAGTGTTTTGTCAATGATTAAAGACACCATGGAGTCTCTTATCATTGGTTGGTCAAGACGCCAATGCAGTGTCTTCCCATTGATTAGTCCAGACATCAATGCAGTGTCTTGTCAATGGTTGATCAAGACACCAATAAAGTGTCTTCTGATTGGTTGGTCAAGTCATCAATGCAGCGAATAGTCAACAGGGTTCTTGTTGGTACTTAAATAGAGTATCCTTAGCATTGAAAGCAACCGCCATTATTAGTCTAAGAGAAAACAAGAGACAATACTGGACCTTTTGACAATACGTATTTAGAAACATTACCTCTTATTTTACCTTTAAATTCTGTATACCGAACTATTAATCGAAAGTTATAAGCAGGCGTTACAGGTGTTACATCAGACACTATGCATAATTTAAATGCAAAACCAGGAGTTACAAAAGATGTTATACCGGACTACAATTATTTTCGTACTTTTTTTCTCTCACGGCATTTGCTGTGGTAACGATGATATTGATTGTGCCGATGTATCGCCGATGTTTGCCTTGTTGATAGTAGTAATGATGTCGATGATGATCATCATGATCATCATGATCATGATAATGATCATAATTATCATCATCATGACTATCATCATCAACATTCCAATCATCATCACATATCCACAATTATCTTCATCATAAACACATCCACCAAAACATAAGCATCTGTATAATTTTGATTGTTATAAACTGTTACAAATCAAAAGAGTGCAGACCATTCAGATTTTTAAAATGCTGCGAATTATCATCATAGCTTTGTTGCTCTGTGCTTGAACAGCTCCGGTGGTCTAGCGGTTAGAGCGTCCGCCTCGGATGCGGGATGTCATGGGTTCGAAACCCGGTTATAGCGTCCGCCTCAGATGCGGGATAAAATTAGATGATAAAACTAGATGACATTGAAGTTTGTGTTATGTATACGTAATAATCGACATGAAGGAGATTGAACACCCTCTCTAAAAATAACATTGCGTGGACTCTTATGTCTTAATTACTTTTTAATTCCTACGTAATGGAGGTGCAAAACAAAATTAAAATTAATCGCATATGATTAGTTACGTCTTTAAAACATCAACTTCTTCAATGAGTGAAAAAATCCGTTTAAACATACTCCATTATATTCATGAACAAATATTTTTAAAACATATTGTTGGGTCTAATACTGCACACTCCATCTATATATCTATATCAGATATTTTTTCCTTTCTCAATTATTTAGTAGAGGTTTATTTGCAGTCAGGAAAAGCTTGTAAATAAAAAATGAAATGTCCCAAAATAAGGATTCATAGTCCAGATAAAAACCTACCCGGAAGTCCATCTAATCCATCTTTTCCTGGTGGTCCTTGTGGCCCCACTTCTCCAGGACGTCCGGAGTCTCCTTTGGGTCCTGGTGGCCCAGGAGGGCCTTCCACTATTCTCTCTGGACCTGCAATAGTAAGACAATAGTTATACATACATACATACATACATACATACATACATACATACATACATACATACATACATACATACATACATACATACATACATACATACATACATACATACATACATACATACATACATACATACATACATACATACATACATACACACACTCACACACACATACATACATACATACATACATACATACATACATACATACATACATACATACATACATACATACATACATACATACATACATACATACATACATACATACATACATACATACATACACACACTCACACACACATACATACATACATACATACATACATACATACATACATACATACATACATACATACATACATACATACATACATACATACATACATACATACATACATACATACATACATACATATATATATATATATATATATATATATATATATATATATATATATATATATATATATATATATATATATATATATAGATATTTATATATATATAGTTAGTTAGTAGTGAAGGAAAATAATACAATAACTAACACATCAAGGAAACGTATGGAATGCAAGAAAAGAACGCAGCACGAATGCAAATGAGTAGGAAGAAGTTTGATTCCCTTAGTTACCTTTAGTACTCATGCAACTTTTGCAAAACTAACGGAAATGATCCCATTAATGAGCATATAATATTATGATTTATGGTATTAACCCTGACCATAACGGGTACATAACTGGGCTGCATTATGTTTCTGATTTCTGCTGTAGATGTGCGTATTATAAACTATATATTATAATGGTCGGTTACAGTAAGTCTACCAGTTGCGGTTAGAAATGGAATCTTGTAGTTCGTCCCATGCCCAAGTGAACATACTATCAGACTAAAAGAGTGGGTTAGCGAGGCTGGTTAGTAAGTGACCCTATCAACCTAGACTGCTACGATATTATGCATTGCACAATTTACAAAAAAAAATTCTAATTATTTTTCAGTTGGAAAGATTGGATGCACATGAATACACACAGACACAGACACACAGCAGACATACACACACCTTACCTGGTGGCCCAGAACTGGAACACATATTGTGTAATTTCTTACAGTGCTCGTGTAACTGTGATCTCTGAAAATGAAGAAGATTACAATATTCAACAGTAGAATCACATTTAATAGATAATTAAGGCCTAATGAGCATGATCTTTCTCCAATTTATCCATGCATCGATATTACGTGTACTTGTAAACCTTGTCTCACCCATCAAGCACATCTGACTCATCACTATTTCATTTGATCTTCCTTTTAAGCCAATTTTGTATTCTTGTCTTCTTCACAGCTTAGAGGCATTTACTTCTTGAGGAGAGACAAGATGTGACTTTTTTCTATACACTCTTTGAGTGGACCTAGAGTTAAACGTTTTGAACAGCATGAGGATTCTCTGATGCTGATAGTCTGTTTCAAAATGGCGCATGTCATTTACTCAGTGGTATCTTCGTAGACTGGTTTAGAGTAATAAATCAGTAATTTTAAAAAATACAGATTAATATCACAACCATTGCGTCATCTTGTATATTTCATAAAGGAGATGAAATAATGCGCTTGTTTACAAATGTTTTTTACTTGCCATAATTATGATCTATACTTCTGCAGTGAAGACTGTATGTTCTTTGTAAAAAGTAAAAATGAAAACTGAATATATTATGATACAGTATTGTTTGTTTATCGACGAATTCGACCAATATACTGAACATTATTGGCTTGTATATCTGTTTTCATATTAGCATGCATGACAAGAAACATATGAGTTTGGTATGTCAGTCCAGAGCATACGATACCATCCTGTACTCTGTGTAAGTCCAGAGCATACGATACCATCCTGTACTCTGTGTAAGTCCAGAGCATACGATACCATCATGTACTCTGTGTAAGTCCAGAGCATACGATACGATTCTGTACTCTGTGTAAGTCCAGAGCATACGATACCATCCTGTACTCTGTGTAAGTCCAGAGCATATGATACCATTCTGTACTCTATATCTACAGCAAAAAAGCATTTATTTGCCCATAGTGAATTGCTGTATAATTTATGAAATGAAAGTTATGAAATAATTAAGTTTCATTGAAATTTGAAGAATGACAAAAGTCATACTTTTTCAAAGCTACTTCTGTTTAATAAAATTTTAATGCAAATCTGCCCTGCTTTACGTCAGTCCTATTGTTTTCATTTTGTTATTCCTGTAGATTGTAATAAGAAGCGGTTCCCATTAGTAAACTATATAAATCCATGTAACTCTTCAACAAATGTTTGAACATAATTGACATATTATGATTTATTTAGAGCAAACGATGAAAATGTTTGAAAATAATATATTGTCATGCAATGTCTGCTATACAAAATTTAGTATGATTTTAAATGCATCGATGACAATTATTTAAACATGACAATGATCACTTACAACGGCCATGACATAAATCATTAGCACCAAAAGAAGAGATATGCTATCTTCTAACTGTGCATTTTGCTCTTCGTAGCAAACCAAAATTTAATATTAACATCACCATTATATTTTACCTTGTGAAATACCCTTCACGATGTCTATGCACAGTATTTATGATTTTAGTTTAGTTTTTGGATCAGGTCTATTCATCTTTCTAGGTAAATCAAGTTGTAGGTTTTGAAAAATTTTGCAAGGTAACACACAGATGACGCGACCATTGAAATTAGGCTTTATATAAATACCCACTCCACCCCCAAAGTCAACTATAATTATGTGTCGGAAAACCTTTCCACAACATTTGTGTGGTAGGTTACCTGGTTTTGGTTATCGTTATCTAGAGGTATTTGCCGACAGTGAAATTTGCTCGCGAGAATTAAATATCAAATAATGATCTGAACAGATATATAGAACACAATAACACGAGCCCCCATTACAACTAATGACAAAATTTAATTCAAAATTCATGACAATTAAATTCATAAACAATTGTGATAATGCGTTAGAATTTGAAAGATATATTTCTTTCTTTTTCAATTAATTTATTCTAGGAATTTCAAATATACAAATATGATTATGTCATTAGCCGATCTCTTCAGCGATAGAATTAATTCATTGTCGAATCCAGTGAAAGATGGAAAAACACTGCCTTGTATCGATTCATAACCTGATGTATTGACTCAATCCAAATTCCACAGCGACTGTTCCTTTTGACTTCCTTGTGCCGGTAAGTCTAGGCCTTCCCTAACTTTTTCCCTTCCTTTTCCAAATTATTAAGTCTAGGGCCACTTTCGGCCCTTCCAACATTGTGTCCACTTTGGGTTTGTAATACGTGAAACGTCCCGTCAGGTAAGGTTAATATGATTCGTGTAGTTATCCCACCTTGTTTCTTCAAGATCTTACTTTCCAGAATTGTGCCTCAGTTTTTCCAGACAATCGTTTCCCTTGGATGGTTTTACGAGTGAATTTTTTTCTTAAATCACTCGGATTTCCCTTACTTTTGTTTTCTCTTGCAGAAAAGTGTAGACTAATTTTAAAATTTGCTATTAGCACATTAAAACTGAGAGTTTTCATGTGCAACTTCGCCCCCTTTCAAAGCGTGTCCAATGCAAATAAAAATTTCTTCCCGCCACTAGGCTCAAACAATGTAGTTCGCCTGACAAACATTGATTACCCAACTAATTCCTGATAACTTTCGAAAATGAAAGTTTTCGATACAAATCAGAAGTTGACACAATTTCTTGTCAGTTTAAACAAACGTAGCCTTAATTGAATATCGCTAAACTCATGACATAGACTGTACCAATCCGTGTATTATGGCTATTCAAACGCGTGCAGGTCCCCATAAATCAATTTAATCGTACACGTGTCCAACTAAATGTTTCCTGCAGAGGTCGACAGAAACATTTGCTCTATTACAGTATTTTATGTACATATATCGTTTGCGCAATAATACTTTGTTCGTACTATTTTTATAGTTTACTGCATTTGTATGGGAAAATATGAATGAGATTTTCGGATGGTATACTGCACGACCTTGGCAGTAACCTTTTAATCATATGCTCATTTTCTTATTCTTACCAATGCTTAAATATATAAACAAAACCACACTACAAAAAAAAACAAAGTAACCGAATGTATGCCGTTTAACAAATTAAATATACAAGCGTAGCTGCATTATTACACAACGGTAGTAATATGTGCCTCATTGGAAAAATACATTACGGACCCTACTGGGGCCTCTATAGCCTCAAGATTTATAGCTTCAAATGGCACAGCCTGAGGTATTATAGCCTCAATGGGAATTTTGTATTAGTGACTAGCACACCCTGGGTCTGTATAGCCTCAGTGGAAATTGGCAATATTTTGTATAGGAAGTAGAGGAATGTTACAGGTAGCATGACGTCACGGTACTGGACATTGT